CAAAAAAAAAAAAAAAAAAAAGAAAGAAAGAAAGAAAGGAAAGAAAACAAATATTAATGAACCAGAGATTTAGCTCAGTAGTTCTGCTGCCTGCCTTTGTTTTATATTTTTGAGACAGAGACTCACTATGTAGATCAGGCTGGCTTTGAACTCACGATGCAGGGTAGGCGGGCCTGAAACTCAAGGAAATCCTCCTGCCTCAGCCTCCCAAGTGCTGGGATTTACAGTTGTGTGTCACCATACCCATCTTGCTTCTATTTTTAAATAAAATAGAGCTGGGGATATAGCTCAGCGGTAGAATGCTTGCCCAGTATATACAAGGGCCTGGGTTTGATCCCCAGCTCAGCAAAACAAGAAAACATTAGTTAATGGAAATAAAATAAATTTGGTTTCATTTGTATGCCCCCTTCCCCCAGCTTGGATCATGTCTGTGCCTGGAGCCCCATGTGCCCCCACTGTCTTTGCCTGTCGACTTGACAAGCCCGCCCAGGCCCCTGGTTAGGTGACCTCTCACTGCCTGTGCTACCTTGTCAGCGGCACGTATGTGTGACCTGCAGTTGCCCTCAGGGTGGTCATGGTCTCCTTGGACAAGGACGAGGTTCTCAATCATTTCTGCCCCGTCAAAGTGGGCCTTGTCCACAGGAGAGCTGTGAATGGTGGCTTCGGCCTCCTGGTCCCAGCAGCTCCTAGGGTTGCCTGTTGAGCTGGTCCAAAACAGGTCGTGGGGGCCACGTGGGCCCGGAGCTGGCGCAGCCATCTGGGCCATGTTCTGATGCAGGGGCCTCTCTCACACCGATAGTAAGTTCTAGAACCTGTGCCTTCCTGGGCTCTGTGTGGGCAGGAGCCGTGTCCACCTTGTGCCCTGCCCCATCCCCAGCACAGAGAAGACAGCCAGTAGCTGTGGGTGACTGTGTGCACCAGTAGACAGAGGAGGACTTTAGGGGCAGGGCTCGACCTGCCTCCAGGCCTCCTTCCCGGCCTCACCTTCCCCCCCAGGCCCCTGCTCCACCTGTCTCCTGTGCCTTTGCTCAGACTGTGCTCTCCGCCCTGCCGGCTCCCTCCACGTGCCACCCTTGCTCCCCAGAAGGTTTTGTCTGCTTTCCCCACACTGTCCTGGTTCCCTCTCTGTGCTCCCTCTGAGGCGCTGGGACAGACTCACTCCTGTCCCCGGCTCCCTCCATCTGGCTGGCGTTTGAGGAGCATCTGCATACACCCACCCTCTGTGTGCCAGTGCGCACCACAGTGCAGCCTGAGCTGCTGCAGGCAGGGTACAGTTCTTGCCCTTTTCGACAGAGGAGAAAACTGAGGTTCAAAATGCCAAGACCCGCCCAGGGCACACACTAGAGTGGTGACAGCATTTGAACCCTGGTAGTCCGGCTCCACAGCATAAACTCTTAACCCCCATGGGACAGTCTCCTACCTCAAGAAGTAGACCGCCAATGGCTGCTCCCCTCCTCATCCCAGCCCAGTGCCATGGCACTGGGGACCCAAGGAGGGTCCCCAAATCCTTGGGCTAGGAGATGGTGCTGATAGAAGAGTGAAATATGGACCTCCAAATAATACAAACAAAATATTATAACTCCCAGCCTGCTAGATGTCTGATACACTGAGTTCATGTTCTTTAAAATCGAAGAATGGATTCCGGGAACAATGGAGGATGAGAGTAGGAAAATATTTATCGAGAGTATAGCTCCTGAGAAGCCAGAGGGGTCCCAACGGGGTAGCCGAGAACCCCGCTTTCCAGGGGAGTTTTATAGAGCACAGCCACGGGGGTACAACGTGGGTTACAGCTATGGCCAACCGATAAGGTTACAAGTGCAGTGGCTTGGGTAATATGATCCAGTGGGGAAACAAGTTGCACAGCAAGAGTACATGGAAGGAATAAAGAACTTCTTAGGAAGGTGACAGATCCAGGGGTCTTGGTCACCCACTGAGGCAAATGATGCCTAACTAGACTTCATTAGACCGAGTATTGTCACTTATCTCACCCCTTGGGGATGTATAGGTCCTTTTGTTGTTGTCTTGAGGCCCAGCCTTCAGCTGATGTGTCCTCAGGCCGCAGTTGTAGGGTGTTTTCACCTTTTGTCCTGACTCTCTGAGGACTCAGCCCTGTCTTACAGCTTGTAATATTTTACCTAACTTAGCTGCCCGTAACAGCACCGCTCATCTGAGCCTGCCCGGCCGAACCCTGGGCTTTGGCTTCCTCCCTTGCAGGGCGTCACCGAGGGCTACAACGGCACCATCTTTGCCTATGGCCAGACAGGCAGCGGGAAATCCTTCACCATGCAGGGCCTGCCGGACCCACCCTCCCACAGGGGCATCGTCCCCAGGGCCTTCGAGCACGTGTTTGAGAGCGTCCAGGTATGGGCCTCTCGGAGGGAAGGGGCTGGTGTTACAGGTGGGCTGGTCCCCAAGGCGCTTCTCACCTTGCAAGCGCACTGTGGGATGCAGTCGGAGCCCAGCCTTGGGTTGGCACAGGTCAGCGGGCAGCAGGTACTGGTTTCTGAAGAGCTAATGGGAGAAAAACTTAAAACTGAGCAAATTCTGCCCACCAGTACCGTGTTTTTCTCCTACCGTTTTGGGATTTAAGCAATTCTCTAACACTTCCGTGGCTGTAAGTCCTGATGAGAAGTGGCGTGCAATCCTGACTCCCATTTTGTGGAGCAGTTGCCTGAGCCTTGAGGAGACCAAGTCTGATTCATATGCAGCATAATTATTTCACTGGACCCCAGACTCTCTGTGGTGGCCCCGGGAAACACGGAGGGGCCTGGGAAAGCTGCCAAGGACCAGCCTAGAGCTAGTGCTTGGGCCAAGCTTTACCTGTAGCTGCAGTTTCTCTACCTGAGAGCTTTGTTTCTTTGCCATGAAGCCTGTGGGCCCAGCGCTAGATGCATAGCTATGTGGAAATAAGCTCCACCAGGCTGGAGGGGAGGGAAGTCCACCAGCATGGGCCGGGAGAGGCAGAGGTGGGGAGGTGTGACCCTGACCACCCCGCTGTGATGTCCTTGCGGTCGAGGTCTAAGGTCTGGCCGCAGCAGGGCTTGGCATCAGATGCATCCGCGTGCTCTGTCCTTTCTCTGCAGTGTGCAGAGGACACCAAGTTTCTAGTCCGGGCCTCGTACCTGGAGATCTACAATGAAGATGTCCACGACCTGCTAGGGGCTGACACCAAGCAGAAGCTGGAGGTGGGTGCAGACCTTCGGGCGAGGGGAGCGGTGTGGGGCTGGCCGTGGGAGGCTGGCACTGGGTTGCCTCCCTGAGAAATGTGGAGGGACATCCTAGGGTACAGGTTCAGACCGGAGGGGGGACTTTGGGACTTGATCTTTGGAGGTCCTGACATCAGAGAGGGTTAATGGGGCTGGAGCTCTCTCTGGCCAGTGTCGCCTCTGACTTTCGAAACAGATGGAGTTTTGTGATTGATTTTATTTGGAGAAAGAGTGCTGCTTGTAAAAAATTAGTATGAAAGTCCCGAAGGGGACTTCAAGCCAAAAAGAGGATATTAATATTATCACTGGCTAAGCATTTATGATTTTTCTAGCTGCTTTTAGGCACATCCTTCCATTTAATACTCAGGGTTAAACTGGCTAAGGGCCAGGGATTTGGCTCAGTGGTTCCGCTGCCTGAATTGCAAGCGCAAGGACCTGAGTTCAATCCCCAGTACCAAAATAAATAAATAAATAAATAAGTAAATAAATAAACGCACTGGCTGAGTGGATATAATATTACCACTGCCGATTTGCCAGTGTGGGAGGGAGGTTTAGAGAGTTTCTTTAAATTGTCTTGCGTTTTACACCATAGCAAGTGGCCGCAATCTGGATTTGAACTCAGGACTGTCCAACTCAGGATCCTGGATCTCAAACATCTTGTTGTAGTGTGGCTGATGGGCTCAGCTTCGGGGACCTTGTTCCCCTCTGAAAGGGGACCAGGGATCCAAGATGTGGCATCATGAGACTTGGGATTGAGTGGGAAATGAGGGGAACCACTGAGCACGGCAGGCTGCTGCAGGGTGTTTTCTGGGTGAGCCGTTTCTTGCCATTGCTTCAGAGAAAGGACAGCGCATATGACAGGGCTGCCAGGTGGAGCCCTCAGTAGAAGGATGTGAAGACAGATGGGGTTAGAAAAAGGTTAGGGCTGGCGCAGGCAGGCAGCGAGCCTTACACGCTTTTCATAAACTGTCCCATCTCCTAGAAGACACGGGATGAAAGAATGTCATTTCATGGAAGCAGGGAGCAGAGTTAGGTTCCTGAGGGTTCTGTCCAGATGGAGCCAGACTGACCCTCTGGGGAGCCCAGATGGTCAAGAAAAAGCTGCAAGGACTGGACAGCCACTGAATGTCCGGGCTGGTCTCAGGTCTGGGACTCTTTAGCCTTCACCTTGGTGACAGGCCCTGACCTCGTGTCTCTGGGGCTCTTTAAATGCTGGGCGGACCCGGTATGGTCCAAGGAGAAGAAGCCATTGGAGGGCGGTGACCCAGATCTGTGACACCCCCTCCCCAGTTCTGGTGCTGCCCCTCCCCCAGGGTAAGGAAGGGAAGCAGCAGTAATTTCGGTTCCAAGAGAGGAGGGAGGGTCCTGGGCTGATTTAGCCGTTCATCAAGACTTATTAGGATGACGCCGTGAATGCCAGAGCACAGGCGCCAGGCCCCACCCTGTGCCAGACCTACAGGAGTGAGCCCTCCAGTCCCAGACATGGAGCACAGGGCCCCTCCTCCTGTAGCCGGCTCAGCACAGACCTCGGAGCTCTGCCCTCTGCATGGAAGAACCCCACCACCCACCTGGAGCCCTGCTACCTGGCTCCTGGAGCAGCTGAGTCATCTCTCAGCCCCCGCCAGGGAAACAGGAAGAGGAGGCAGGCCCTGGGTGTCGCCCCACTTGGCTCCCGTAAAAGGCCTGGCTGTGCAGTTAGTTTCCCCGTCCGGAGTGCACAGCTTCCGCCAACCTGCACTAGAGCCTCCTGGACCCTCCTCCCCTTCCACACTGCCCTGGGTCCTGCAGGCCTTGGATATCCCGGCCTTGTGCTTACCGCAGCTGGGCCTTGGGGCTTGCAGATGACAGAGCCTGCCGGGAAACACACCCTGTAAGGCCTTTGCCACGCTCCCATGTGAGTGACGTGCAGACAGCTCTCCTGTCAGCCTCCCAGCAGCTGTAGGAGGAAGCAGTGCTCTTCCCCTTATACAGATGAGTACCTGAGGCTCGGTGTGCCTCTGTGAGGACCAGCCCAAGGGCACACGGGAGGAGTATGGATTGCTCTGCAGCACACCCTCTTAGCACACCCTGACAGGCTTAACACTCTGATGAGAAGCTGGTAGATCAGCAAAGGCCAGTGGGAGATTTGGGGAAGCAGAGTTAGACCAACCCCCAGTCTCCACAAACACCTCTGTGGACCCCAAGCAGGAATATGCAGTTGTCTCTTCCCACACACCACGTCTGGGAGGAGGATGAGGACCTGCCTCCTCCGCGGACCCAGGCCTGGGTCCCGGGTCACATTCCTGCTCTGTGCCTCGCTCTGTCCCAGCCCCATCCCAGCTGGTTGCCATGGCGACCTGCTCTGGCGTCTTGCCGCCACGATGAGCAGTTTCCAAGCAGCTGTCTGCCTTTCACTCATTGCCTCCCTGGGGCATCGAGGGCAGGGTAGGAGCCGGCAGGGGCCTCTTGGACGTTGTGAGGTTGGGGGACAAGTCTTCCCAGGGTTGAACATAGTCAGAGACCTCTTTGGTGAGAGATGTCTGCTGGGGTTGCTCTGGCCTAAGTCTCTTTGTGACCTGTGTTCCCTGAACTGTGGTAAGTGCCTACAGCCCGTCTTACAGATGCGTTTCCTTCCTGGTCCTTGTAACTATCTTGAAGAAGCAGCTCCCTCTTTATTCCCATTTCACAGATGAAGGAATTAAGGCCTAGAAAGGCAGACTGACCAGTAAGCGACTGACTGGGTTTCTGCCCAAGCTCCTAGGATTGGTGGGAAATGGGGTCAGTGGTTCTTCCTGACGCCTGAAGCTACTCTCCAGGCTCACGGTGCACGGGACAGGACCCAGAGAGGCCCAAGACAGCCCCCAAACCCCAGCCCAGCCAGCTCTGTTTGCAGGGGCTCCGCTTCTGTCCTTTATGTTCATCCTCACCGCCACTTCCTGTGTCTACGTCAGCCCTTTGGGAGGCTGAAGCGGGAGAACTGCCAGTCTGCGGCCAGCCTGGGCAACTTCGTGACCTAACGGCTGTAGCTCCTGAAGGGTGCCCCGCCTCTCTCTACCCTGTTCCTGAAGGTCTCCGTCACCTGTGACCTCTTTCGTAGATGCGTGGCTTTCAGCAAGGTGCCTTTCTGAGCCTGGGTTGATCCTCTTCCTCTGAGCCCAACCCAGGCTGGGCCTGGCTGTTTCCCAAGGGCGGTGCTCCTGGGGCCCCTGAAGCTGCCCACAGCAGCCGTCTAAACCTTTGGGGCTCCGACCAGCAGGGCCATTCAGCAGACAAACGCCTGCAGTCCTGATTCAGTCCACTCTTGCTTATTTCCTCTCGCACTTGAGAAATACTGTGTCTCACAGCTCAGTGTCAGCAACAAGACAACTCAGCTGCCCTGCCCGGAAAGCAGGCGGGGACCTCTTGCATGTGTAAATTTATTGCTGCCATCGCACTGCGGGTGGCTCTGGTTCGGGCTGGAGCTCTGGGTAGCCAGTAGCCCTTCACCTGCCCTGGCCCAGGGGTCTAGGGATGGTCTTGTTGCCCTGGGGGACAGCAAAGAGGCCACCAGGAGCTGTATGGCAGGACGAAGGAGGCAGCATTCAGAGCCATCAGCGACTGCAGGATCAGCCCTGGGAGCTGTTGGAGCCCCCAGACTGCAGCTGCCTTCTCTGTCACAGTGCAGACAGGGACGCAGCACATTACGGGGCACCTGTCACCTGCCAGGCACCATGCCAAGGGTTGTGCGGACCTGAACCCTTGCCACATTCCCTATGAGATGGGCATTGTACACCCGTTTTACAGGTGTGGCAACTGAGGCTCGGGTTAAGTCACCTGCCCAAAGTCCCACAGGGAGGAAGCAGGTATAGGTTTGTGGCCGGCTGCACCCGGAATGGCTGTTACAGGGTATTTGAAGTGTGGGAAGTTGGGGGGTGGCCCCAATTGGGTCCTTCGCTGTGGTTCCTCAGGGAATCCCTGATCCTGCCCCACCCACCACTCCCCTCCCTCACAGCTGAAGGAGCACCCCGAGAAAGGCGTGTACGTGAAGGGGCTGTCCCTGCACCTGGTGCACAGCGTGGCCCAGTGTGAGCGCATCATGGAGACCGGCTGGCGGAACCGAGCGGTGGGTTACACCCTGATGAACAAGGACTCCTCCCGCTCCCACTCCATCTTCACCATCAGCATCGAGATCTACGCCGTGGGTACGCAGGCTGGAGGGGAGCCCAAGCCAGCCAAGGCCCCGCGCCTCTGAGCCCCACAAGCCCCGTGGGAGACAGAAGCGGTGTCCCAGTGCCTGGGCGAGCTGGGCGAGAGTCCTGCCCAGGCCAGGCCCTGTCCCTGTGCTTCCCGGACAAATAGCAGGGGCAGCGCTGTGCGCTTAGCAGGGCCACGCAATTTGCGCGCAGATCTCATTTATCCCTCCCGTGAGATATTTGATAATATCATCCCCATTTTGCAGATGAGAAAATCGGGGTCTTGTGACCAGGGTGTCAGAGCTGGGCTTCTGTCTCAGTGGTTTGCCCCTAGGGTGTGACTCACTCAAAACCTGTGACGCCCGTCTTGGTAATGTTCTCGACTCCTCAGTCATCGGTTTCTTATTTCTTCTGGGAAGAGCTGCTGAGAAACAGAAGAGGCAGGAAAGACGTTTCGGGGGGGCACTTGTAGGCCAGATGCAGTGCTTAGCGCTTTCGATACCTCATTCTGTGTAAACCACCTGGATGTGGGTGCTGTGGTTTCCATTTTACAGGTGAGGAAACGGAGGCCTTGACAGGGGAAGTGATTTGCCCATTCAAGGCCTCACAACTGCTAAGTTAGTTAGGATTGGAACCCAGGTCTCCCAGACAGCTTGGTTTTCCCACTAAGACTGCAGCTGCTCCCAAGTTTGTAGTTCATCCTAAATAGAACTCTAAGTAGCAGGGAGCAGGGCCAGGGATTTAGTTCAATGATGCCATCGCCCGCCTCACAAGCCCAAGGTCCTGAGTTTGATCCCTGGTACAAAAAAAAAAAATAAAAAAAATAAGCATGGAATATCATCCCTGAAAGACCCCTGGCTCAGGGACGGGGTGACCCTGTCTGCTGGTGACCTTGCCCCACACCAATGCCCTCGTGCTGACTGAATCAAGAATACCCTGTGTCCCCAGGGATGATGTGAGCAGTACGGTGACAGCTTCCCGGGACTCTTCTGGTGAGGAGAGAGTAGGGCGGTGACTTTTGCAAGGGTTTTGCAGTGGCCTTGAAGGTGGGGCTGTTACCTAAACAGCTACTGATACGTTTAAGCATATTTTCTTTTGATCCTTTTCTCCTTATGAAAATTTGAAGCACACTTGAAATCTTAGGCTCTAAGTGGTTCTTCCCTCGTTATCTCCCAGGCCACTGCTGAGCGCTTGCCCACATTACTAGCTCCGTGTCTTCATGGCTGTGTGAGGAGAGCCTGTTGCCCAGGACCTTTGCAACCAGTCCTTGATAAGGGGTCAGAGTTCTTCCTGGGTTTTCAGTGCTATAAATAATACTGTGACGAACACCTTTGTGCCCCCAAATTTTTGTGCTTGGGCAGTCCTTTCCTCGGTTGGATTCCTGGGCTGGACTCTGGGCACAAAGGGTACAAACGTGTCTAAGGCACCTGTTACATTCTGGTGCTGGGGATTGAACCCAAGGCCTTTGCATGAAGCTCTTTCCCCAGCCCTTTTTTATTTTTTGTTTTTGAGCAATCCTCCTGCCTCAGCATGCCCAGCTCGGTTGATCATTCTGCAAATAGCTTTCCTAGACTGGTCCCACATTCCTTTCTGTTTTGTTTTGTTTTGTTTTTTTTTTTGAAAGCATGCAGAGCCAAGCTCCTCATGTGTCCAGCCAATCTTTCTTCCCTACTTTTGATTGCTGCATCCATGGACCTAACTTGGGCCCCTTCTGGTTTCCGCCAGCAGGAGAGGAAGGAGGCAGCTCAGTGGGAGAAGGGCCAGGCTCAGCACTGTGGGTGAAGTCATTCCCCACATTGCACGGCCTCTGAGGGCGGACTTGGGATGGGCCTGTTCCGCGGCCCGCAATCCCATCCAGTGCCCGGGTCTCTATTGCGCTGGACATCCAGGCTGTGCCCAGGTGGGCAGCCTGGCCAGTCTCACTTTGTAGGAATCAGAGAGGTACATGGTTCTGCTCATGTCGCACAGAGAAGAGGAGCCAGGACTTCTTGTAAACCACATCCACAGGTCTCAGAGTCAATGCTTTGTGCACAAAAAGATCCAGCCACTTACTCCCTTCCTCTGCCCTTGGCCTCACAGGAAGTCTGTGGAAACTGTTATGTGGCTGGAAGGACCATCTATGACTCCCAGCCCTGCTCCCTGGAGTCAGACTGCCCTCAGTTCTGATCTCAGTTCCACCTCTTGGCAGCTCTGTGACCTTGGGCGAGTTTCATGCCCTTTGTGAGCCTCGTTTTCCTCATCTATGAAATGGGCACAACAGTATCACCTCCTTCTTGGGGCTCCTGTTCAGCCAGCTCGAACCCTCAGCAGATGGGGGCCCCCAGGGCCCAGGGGTGACTCCCTCTTCTCTGCGGGGCTCACGCCAAGGCCCTCAAACCCTTCCCTGTTGCCCACAGATGAGCGGGGTGAGGACCACCTCCGCGCAGGAAAGCTTAACCTGGTGGACCTGGCAGGTAGCGAACGGCAGTCCAAGACGGGAGCCTCAGGGGAGCGGCTCAAGGAGGCCACCAAGATCAACCTGTCGCTGTCAGCGCTGGGCAACGTCATCTCCGCCCTGGTGGATGGGCGCTGCAGGCACATCCCCTACCGGGACTCCAAGCTCACCCGGCTGCTGCAGGACTCCCTGGGCGGCAACACCAAGACGCTGATGGTGGCCTGCCTGTCCCCGGCCGACAACAACTATGATGAGACCCTCAGCACCCTGCGCTACGCCAACCGAGCCAAGAACATCAAGAACAAGCCCTGCATCAACGAGGACCCCAAGGACGCCCTCCTGCGCGAGTACCAAGAGGAGATCAAGAAGCTCCGGGCCATCCTGGCACAGCAGCTGAGTCCCAGCAGCCTGTCAGGTGCCTGGCGGGCGGGGGTGGCGGGGAGGGCACCGCTCCTCTGTCCCTTGGGAGCCGTGCAAGCAGCGCCCCCACACCTTGGGCGAGTCCTCCGCACACGCGGCCCTGCCGGTGTCCTCTTCCTGCCCATGACCCCGGGCAGAGGCCCGTGTATCCTCCACCGAGCCCTGTGAGCAGCGGGAGGGTGGCCTGAATGAACAAGGTCAGCGTGGAGCCACACGCACTGCCCTGGCCGGGGCTGGGATCCAGCCCACGCATCCCGCAGGGCCTCTCACCCCGCCCTTCTCCCCGTTACCAGCAGATTTCTTGTTCTCCCTGGTGTAGAACAGGAGC